ATTCTGAAACAAATCCCTCCTGTTTTGAGAATCGGTGAAACAATTCCCTTGGTCTCAATAAAAACTTCCAAGACACGTCCTTGTTATGTAAACTTTTTCAGCATCACACTTATTCATAGGTTTCCCGGCATCAAAAGCACCCAGGACATTTAGTACAAGACTCCCCCTAGAGAAAGTGGAGTCCCCCTCCGATGTTTGTTTTGTTTCTATGTCGAGGAGTCGTGTCCTTTCTCACACCCGCCTGCCCTGGGTGGAACATCTTTAGTTCCCAGGGTACTAAAATCTGGGCACTTTCTGGGGATGGTTCAAACTGGCGATTTACTGGATGTCTCTGAAGATGGGGCCTGTGTTTGGGCAATGTTCCACAATCCCACCCTTGAGTTTCTGCAGAAGTGGTGGGTGGATGCCATCTGGTTCAAGGGCTTTATTTACTCTTAGTTGGGTATTCAGGCTTGGAACAGCCCACAGGCTTACCACTATTTCATTTAACAACTCTGACCTGTCTCCTGCAAAAGTCACTTTCAGGGTGGGAATCTCTCCAAGGCTTTCTTCTATAAGATGAAAGCAAAGGATTGAGACCAGCTGCTCCTCTGGTTTAAGAGTCATCAGCAGGTCCCACCAGCTCCTCTGCCAGTTCCCTTTTTATGTATTTAAAGGAACTCTGGTTATTAGTCTTGGCGCTCCCTGCACAGGGCTTCTGAAGGTCACTTCTGAGCCATCTGAGGGCTTGTCAGCACCTGCCCTGACATCTCTGTGGGGTCCTGTGTTCTCCTGGACTCCCAGAGACGCTGCTTTTCCCCGAGGGGAATTTTTAGGTTACATGTGACCAGGCATTTGTTCAAATGCCTGTTCTCTCCGACTTACATTAAAGAATGTATCGAGGAAATCACTACCTCCATAATAGCGGGGGAGGGGGAGGAGGGTGCAACTGAGCCCCGGTGGCCCAGGAGGGCCCTGGCCAGGCCCCGAGGGAGCAGCAGGACGCACGGTCCACGCCCAGAGCCCGGCTTCCGGGTCTCCACCGTTTGAGTCAAGCCAGTCCTTGACTCCCTGGGTGACCCTGGCTTAGTCACTTCACCTCAGGTGTGAGTAGGCACACACCGTAGTCCTACTCACCATGACTCAGTTTCCCCATTTGTGAAATAGGGGTAGTTACTACAACGTTTCTTGTGGGATGGCTGGAATGAGCTAACACAGAGAAGCACTTAGGATCATGCCTGCTACATTAAGTGCTGCGAAGCCGCTATTATTAGATTGAACCTTATTAAATTGCCAATACTTGACTGTGTGATCTATAGACAATTTCATAAAATGCAACTGGACATTATCATCATTATTCTATTCAGGCAGCCCAGGCTGAGAGCCAGAATCGCCGAGGGCCCCTCTACCAGGAAAGAGCCCTGGCCCCGCTCTGCCGGAAGCCCGTTTCAAGCAGCCTACGGCCCAGAGGACCGGGCCGTTCTGCCCCTATGGCCCCTGTGCATGGCCACGCCTGAGGTTCCCTTGCTCAGAGGTCTCAGCAAGGAAACCTGTTGGAGTGATCCTCCTGGGTGTGTTTTCGGTCCCCCACCCCAGGCAGCGTGACCCCAGACAACTGCTCAGCCAGGGAGAAGCAGGTGGCCTTCCCTCTGGGGGCTCACCATGGCCGGGCACCGCCCTTTGCCCCTGCACCCTCCGAACACCTCCTCCAGCCCCACTTGGTCATCCAGCTTGGTCTTACCCAGGATTAGCCTAGTAGAGTTTACTCAGGTAAGTTCAAAGTCACTAAAAGACTTGGGTTCCTGAAGCTATCCTCATTTCACTGCTTCTCAGACTCAAGAGTACACTGCAGGAACTAATAATATTAGGGTTAATAAGCTCACTGCTTTGAAGGCCACAGGCTAAGTATACCATTCTGACAGCTTCAAGTGCAGCAATTTGTATAATGCTCATTAACAGCTCTAGAAGGTAAGTACTCTCATCCCATTTTTCCGATAAGAAAACTTACAGGGCCAAGTTAGTCTGCTGAAGGCTGCAGACCTAGAAAAATGGCAGAGCCAGGATTCGACCCCAGGCAGACAGGTTCCAGAGACTGTGGCTTAACCACTGGACTATTCTGCATAGTCTCCAACTTTAGAAGGGGGCGGGGGCCGCTGGTTCCCCTGATATATGCTGCACTGGTTCCCTTTACAGCTGGCTCCCTTCCCCTGATCTTTAAGGGTGATACATGCCTGGTCTGCCAAAAGTGCCACAAACTCATTTATTTCTGCAGCTACTTCACCTGGTTCTTCTTTGAGTCACTCAGCTTTCAGCCCTAAAACCTCCTCTCCCGTGGCATGTGAGGCTCTCTGGGACACCTGTATTCATGCACACAGCCTCCTCTCTGTTTTAGCTGCAGGCGGCCCGTCAGCAGCTGGGCAGTGCGGGCTGTCTTTCTCTGCAGAGAGTTCACGGGCCCGCATCTCCCAACGCCACACGATGCTCTCCTGCCCTTGCTGTGTCTCCTAAGGGACACTGCTGGCCTGTCCAAGCGCAGCCAGGCGCCCTTCTTCTTTCATTATTCATAGAATTATAGATCTGTGGAGTTGCGGGGAACTCTGCAGATTATCCTTGAATCACCCATTCCATTTTGTCTCAAGGAAAGAGGGGAGATTCCTCTATTGAGGAGGACTAACTGAGGTGTTAATGAGTCAACAAAAAGCCCATTGTCATTCTGTGGGTTACTTCAGAAAGGCCTCAGATCCATCAGATAGAACATCTCCATGTCTAAGGTAGTTTTAAAGTCTCAGACTATGGTCCTATGCTGTCGATGTTGTGAATTGCTACGCACCATTCCAGGAGTCACCTCCCCCGCCCCCCACCCCCCACCCCCGAGCTAATCTGGGAAGCGCTTCTATCACATGTGACAAGGCCCTCCGAGCCTGGCTCATGATAAACAAAATTACACTGCGGGCTCCTGATAGCTGCGCCTCCTCAACCACAGTATCAAAACTGACAGCTCACCCAGCGCGTGTCCAGCCCAGCCCAGCCCCTTGTTCATCCCAGGCGCCGCACACACTTCTGGCTGGCAGAAGCCTCAGCGCTTTGCCTGCCGCCCTGGCACCTACCCGCAGAGACCCACTCCTCCCTTTCTCTCCCAAAGCCCTTCCTTGGGCAAGTTGGGTCCTGTCTTTCCACCTATTTGTGGGATAGGTTTCTTATGCTTTAACCACCTAACACCAATTACAGAGTGGGCCTGCCTGGGGGTCATGTGGAGAGGCTGCTGTTCCTAAGAACACCCGAGGTATTAGTTATAACCTAGAAAAATACCCAACCTTCTCTGGCTTTCCCCCTGCTCACATTTTTAAAAGGAATATATGCCCATTAAAAAAAAAAACACCCCACACCCCCCAGTTCAGCAACGTACAAAGCAGAAAATCAAACGCCCACTGCCACCGCCCCGAGAGATTATGACCTCCAGGTGGCCTCCCTCCCCGGCCCTCTCTGCAGACGGCAGAGCCTGGTAGCCTCTCCCCTCAGTCCCCACGCCCCGTCCCCTGCAGCAGCTGGCTGGCTTCCACCGCCTCTTCAGTCTTCCTCGCATCCCCACCTCGGGTTCCAGGACACTGCACTCCCACCGGCCACGCCCCCACCTTGTCTGACCACCTCTCCTCCTTGACCTTCCGTAAGGGGGGCCGCTGGGGCTCAGGCCTGGTTCTCCTGTCTCTTCTGTTCACTCCCACCTCCTCTGGATTTCATCCAGGGGCCCGGCTTCAAGGACCATCTAGCCAGAGGCTCCTAAACACACATATCCAGTCCAGACTCCTCTCTCTTTCAAGCCCAGACTCACAAGATTTACTTCCCTACTCTACCTCTCCATTTGGATGTCTTTTAACGGTGTTTAAAATTCATCATGCCCCAAAATGAACTCCTGATCTTCCTCCACAAACCTGCTCCTCCTATAGCCTTCTCACAAACTGTGGGGTCACCCCGACTCATCCCTTGGTATACTGTATACCTGATTTCTCAGGAATTCCTGTTGACTCTGCTTACAAAGAACATCCAAGACCTGATCACTTGTCACATCTCCACCGCCCCATCCAGGTGCAGGCCACCCTCGTGGAGCCTCCGGGGTGGGTCCCAGCATCCGCTGGCCTCACCTGAAGACCACACTAGAGGGATCCCCTGAAACTGTAAGTCAGATGATGCCCCTCCTTGGCACAAGACCCTCTCCTGGATCCTCTTCCACTCGGAGTAAAAGCCAAAGTCCTGACTCTGGCTACAAAGCTGCCATGACCTGAGTCCCCTGTGACTTCTCAGGCCTCTTTCTAACTCTTTCCTTGGGCCACTCTGCTCCAGGCCACACTGACCACCGTCATGGTTCCACAGACAGCTCAGGCACACTGCAACCTTACTGCCTCTGCATGGCTGCTCCTGCCGCCTGGACGCTCTCCCCGTGGACCCCCAGATGTCCACGTGGCTCCCTCACCTTCTCCCAGCCTTTGCTCACATGTCACCTTCTCAGTGAGCCTATCCTGACTACTTTATTTGAAACTGCAACCTGTCTCTTCCCTGCCACCTAGTAATCCCTTTATCCTTTATTAAAAAAAAAAAAAACTACTTAAAAAAAATAAAAATTTATCACCCTCTAAGATTCTTTTTAATTTACACTGCTTTTGTTTACTATGTCTCTCCCCAACTAGAACGTAAGCTCTAGAAGAACAGAGCTCTCTGTTCTACCTTCCGTATGTCTTACTCCCTCAGTGGCACTGAGCACACTGCAGGCATTCAATACACGCTCGTCAGCGAATGACTGGAAGGCCTTAGACCTGCCCAGGTGCTCGGCAGCCTTTCTGCTGCTAAGACCCTTTCACACTGAAGAACTCTGGGCCCCCAGAGCTTCCTGCTACGCGGGAGGGGCACCCTCTTCTGAACATCCCCTCGCCTTTCCTCTTCCCAGCCAGGCACCTGCTGCAGCACCTTCTCTCTGCATGCCCCCTGTGACGCGCACCCCCAGCGCAGGCTGAGCGCAGGCCCCTCACCTGAAAGTCCTCCTCATCCAGGATCTCTTTCCTCCACTTGATCAAGAAAGCTGCACACACGTAGAGATGAAAGTGGGAGAACCCTTCTGGTTCAGACTGGGAAGGGGAAAAGAAAAACAGAAAGAGTTAGGTCTCCAAGACCTGACGAGAAGCAGGCTCCAGCCCTCTCAGACCCATCCTTCTGCGAGGGGGGAAAGCAGAGCAGCAGCCCTTCCGTGGCTGGGTGCACAGCGGCCCTGCCCTCGAGGACAAGGCAGACAGAGGCAGGAAGGAGGGGGGACTTCCGAGCGGCTGCAGCCGGCGGGGAGCCGCGTGCCTCAGGGACAGCCTGGTGTGTGTGTCTGCTGGGGGGAGGTCTCCCCATACCTGGTACGTGTCCCACAGGCGGATGGTGCAGCGGAGGGGAAGCTCCCGCATAAGCAGGTTGTTCATCCAACGGAAGGCAAACTGTAGGTATTCCACCTCGTACCTCCTGAAGTGATTATGTACCTGCTCTGAAACAGGAAGGGTCATTGGCCCCCGAGTGCAACCTAGGGGATCGGACCGTGACTCACATAAACCAAAAAGGCAGTTTCTGTTTCCTTTTTTTTTTTTTTAAATATTTGTTTATTTAGCTGTGTCGGATCTTCACTGCATCACGTGGGATCTTTCGCCACAGCGCTTAGGCTTGGTTGCTCTGTGGCATGAGGGATCTTAGTTCCCCGACCAGGGATTGAACCTGCGTCCCTTGCATTCCAAGGTGGATTCTTAACCGCTGACCACCAGGGAAGTCCCAGTTCCCATTGCTTTTCAGCTGTTCCCCCTGGGGAAGCCTGGACTAGAGGGGCCAAACCGGCACCTGAGTGTCCGGCGTTTGATCCCACCACCTCACAGCAACGCTGCTTGGTTAGCTTCAGCCCCACCCGTAGGAGAACTAGTTGAACATCCCACAGTGACACTTTGGGGGCCTTTCTTCTTTGCAGGGCTGCTCGAGCCATCAAGTGTGGGAGACATGAGGCTCTCTTGGCCGCTTGACCTTGTTACGCATCGCAGAAGGAGACGCAAAGGAAAAGAGCTGTGTGGGTCACCTTGGCCACCCTCCCACCGGTGAGGATTCCTCTTCAGCATCTCTGACAGATGGCAGCCAGCAGGGACTTAAACAGCCGGGGAAAGAGGTTCACCGACTCCACTCAAGGGCAGCCTCTCCCACTGATTAAGTGATTCACCGCAAAGAGCTTTGCCACATTCGACAGACACCAGCTCCCCCCACCAACTCCCACCCCGTGGTGTGGGCGTGGTGTTCTGGAACAACCCAAACACACCTGACCCTGTTCCATACGGCAGCCCTTCAGCTACTGCCTGATAGGATTTAAAAAAAATAAAAAATCACCATCTTCCTCAGTTCCCTAATCTATAAATGGGGATACTCATTCAAACCTCAGTAAGTCTGGAGGCGAATAAAATGAGAAAATAAAAGTGTCTACAACAGCACCCTCATGTGGTAAATACTACAGCTTTTGAAAGAGTAACTATCAATAAATGGTTATTTCTAGGGAGCAGAATTTAAAGAAGGGGGAGGATTTTTACTTTTGTGGTTTTTTGGAATTGTCTAAATTTTTGTACTGAGTATTACTTCTATAATTCAAAGCACAAAGATACATACATTTAAAAATATACTATATCCTAACATACTATGCCTTTATTTATCAGATATTTTTGATGGCAGAAGACGAAAAAACAGGCCAGACCGGACAGTGGAAAAAACTACAGCACAGGCCCTCTGGAAGCCGGCCCTGTCAGACAGCTCAGCATACGCCCCGTCCCAGGAGCCAAGTGAGGGAGGCAGGAGAGCTGGGTGTGGGCTTGGCATGGAGCTGACCGCTGGGCCAGGCAATGAGGCAGAGAGATAAAAGCATCCCACATGCAATGCATGGGAAAGAACAGCAAATAATCAAATCAGCTCTAGGGACTGAAATCCTAAGTTGTAAAAGGAAGCTGGAATGAATGGAACAAATCAGGGAAGGTTTTCAACGGAAGAGAACCCAAGAAAGGAGCAAGACAGGCAATCTCCATATGGTGGGGGGTGGGGGGAGGTGGGGGCAGGGATGAGGAATGCACTGGTGAAGCAGAAAAATCCATGATGGAAAACCAGATAATAGAACTTATTAGTTGTGTAGCAACTGATAGAATTAACTGGTGCTGGACATTCCACTTAGCAGAAGACCTTGCTGTTAGACCTGTACATGATCTTCATGAAACTTAATTTCAACTTCTGTCCCCGGGCCTCAGTTTCCTCATTAGTCAACAGCAGGGCTTCCTGACTTGCCTTCAGTTCTAACACTCCAGGATCCCATGGTGGGGCCAAGACTTACTGCAGGGCTCCTGTTCCTCAAAGACATTCTGCTTCCGGAGGCCACGACTCCTGTTTCCCACCCAGACGGGTCACAGGGAGCTATGGGATGTCCTGCTGGGGTACCAGGCACACCTGAGGACTCCACATCGAGCCCAGAAATCCTGAGTCACATCACAGTGGGAAGGACGAGGTCAGACTACAGACTTGGTGCTAAAAGCAATGGAGAACATGGGCTTTCGAGCAGAAGTGGGATGTGACCGGAACAGAGCTCTGGAAAGACGGAGGTGTGTGAGAGATGTGCAAGAGGGACGAGGATGGAGGAGGCGAGTGCTTCTAGGAGGAAGCTGCAGAAACTCAAGCATGGCTGGACCAGAGCTGTGGCTAGGGCCATGAAGAACAAAAGGGTGAATTTCAGGAGAGATGCTGAAGGAGGATTGGCAGAACCTGGTGATAGGAAACAAAGGCGAGAAAAGAATGTGACCTAACAGCAGGGTTCTCGCCTCACCTTCCCAGTGAGAATGTAGAAGGATGTCAGCGTTGCCAACAGCACTGAGTGAACTGGAAGGGGTCACGGCCAGGACAGGGGCCGAGGAGACGCCCCCCGCCCCCCGCACCAGCATAATCACACTGTGTGTGAGTCACACTTGTGTCAGAATCACACTGCTAGAGAGTTCTTCCTCTGAACCTACCATCAATCCGACTGACAAGCTCTTCCAGCGCCTTGACCTTCTTCTGGATCCCTGGTTGTGCAAAGGTGTAGTTATCCTGCAAATAACACAGAACTGAGGCTGAGCAGGGAATAGCACACCGTCGGGCCACCCCTTCCCCAGGGTTACTGAAACATGTTTCAAAGCACAAGCTGTTTCTCCAAAGCTGCTGCCAGCAGCTGCTGCTGTGGGGAACAAAGGAAACTCACAGAACAGCAGAGTGTGGGGAAAGGCATGTGCTTTGGAGGCAAACTGCATGGCTGGGAGCACAGCAGGGCCTAATGAGAAAGACAGAGCAACACGGAGACTCCCCGAGACTCCAGGGGACATGAGACCATTGCCTTTTTTTTTTTTGCCGCACAGCACAACTTGCAAGATCTTAGTTCCCCAAGGAGGGATCAAACCTGTGTCCGCAGGAGTGAAAGAGCAGAGTCCTAACCACTGGGCCGCCAGGGAAGTCATCTAGGATCACTGCCTTTTGAAAGCCATAAAGCTAATGAACGAAGTAAAGATGGATGGAACAAAAGGGGAGGAGCCATGCTGGGGCCGGTGGCGGGGAGGGTGTTGTCTGATGCAGAAGAGCAACAAGGAACCCAAAGGGAGCCCCAGGCAGGGCATCCCGAAAGGGCAGAGGCACTCACCTGGATCCCGTCCAGCAGTTTGCTCATGCACCAAAAGCTGTCGGCTTCTATGCTTCGCAGCATGTCCTGAGACAAATTGGTCACGTCAAAGTTCTCCACATCCTCTTCTGTAAAACAAAAGGTGAAGAAAGTCCAGAGGTTTTCTCTAAAAAAATGGAGAAAGACAGAGTCTAGTATCTTCAACGGGTCCCTTAAGGCCCGGAGGGAGCCAGCTCATGTGAGGCCAAGGAGCAGGGGCCTGCCCCTCCCATGCCCTTGGCCAGGTGGGCAGGCGTGTCCCAGGAAGCGCTCGAGAATGTCATGATAACACTGGACAGGCCATTTCTCACACCGGGTTGGCTGGGTCCAACACATCTTTCTCTTCCACTGCATTTTTCATTTAGTTTGAGGAAAAAAACAAAAAACTTCAGGCCTCATGTTCAATGAGCTATATCCAGCCCCCTGGAGATGGTCTGGAAAAATTCTTTTCTTTCAGAAATTCAGTGAACTAACATACTTCCTCTTATGGGCAGTGAGAAGAGCTGGGATCAGGGAGCCCCCACAGGTCCTTTTAAAGACAGAATCCAAAAAAAAATAAAAAATAAAGACAGAATCCTGCCATTCTGACAAGGCAGACACAGGGCCTCACGCCTCAGAAGTGAGTTGTGTGAAGGAAGATGGCCAAAACCCATGAAAGCGTCCAGGATTTAATTTCACCAAGCTGGCAGTTATCAAGCTGGGTTCTGCAAAAACCTCAATCCTATAGGATACTCAAGTAAAAAAGGTTCCATGGACAAACACAGCTGAGAAACACTGCATTATATATCCTCATCTTGGAGAGTCATAAAAGGATTCGAGAAGTTGTTAGGAATTCTGCATTAAGAAAATCTCCTTCATCTGGCTTATTCAGCACTTCCCCAGTTTCTTTAGCCCTGGCACCTCTTTTATTTTACTTATTTATTTATTTTTTTGGCACCTCTTTTAAAGAGGCCTGCCCATGAGCGTGTCATGGAAACCCCACACTGAGTGACAAGAGTGACAGGCTGTCCATCTGGTCTGAGATGCAAGAAGGGAGAACACAGGAGTCTTCTAGAAGAAGGAATGTGTGATGTTTCCTTCCTGCGGGAGACAAGGTAGACAAGACAGGCCACCTCAACCCACAGGCCCCAACATGCCTGTCAGAGGCCACACACAGAAACGTGCAGGCCCTTGCATTCTGTGTCAAAGGCAGCTTCTCTCCTTGGAGCCCTGTTTGAAAACAGCATGTTCACTGCAGTCCCTGGTGCCACAGAGACACAGGTATATGAGAGAATGTATTCAGAATCCAGCCCTTTCCTTTATGAGAATTATCACTCTATCAAGACTTACAACTGGACTTTCTCAGGATGCTGTGGAGCAACTCTCTGATTCTCCTCCTATATAATCAGCGTTTTTCTAATGGACCTCAAGGGCTGTAAAAACCCTTTTGGGTTTTTTTGGTGGGGTGCTTTGTCAGAAAAGCTATGAGCCTGGTAACAATGTAAAAACTCCGCAGTTAATACAAGTAAAGTGTTGACAACAGACCCTGGCACATGGTAGGCATGATATGGTTAATTTTAGGTGAGGTTTGTTAGGAATTTGTAATGACATGGGGAAGCATGTCACAGCGTTGAGGGAAAGGAGTAAAGTAAAAAGTAATTTATGGTTTACTCTCAACTACTGTACATACAATATTTATGTGTTTGTATAAGCACAGAGGAAAAACAAAATATATCACAAGGGTTTACAGTGCTTATTCCCAAGGTAGTAAGGATAAAGAATTTTTATTTTCTTTAAGCCTTACCATGCAAAATTTCTAAAGTATAACTTTTAGTCAAGAAAAAATGCACATGATTCTAGAAAAAAGGAGCTACCATGGACTATATCTGCCTTTTACTACCAAAAAGAGAACAAGATTTTGTAAAACAACATTGAGCCTGCAGAAATGAAGACTTCAGATAATATATAAAGGTCTATTTGAGAAACCACACCAAAAAATCCTTCCATGAAATACCATCTTTCTTTTTTTTCTAACTTAACCCTTTATGTAGTGGGTGTTTTGACAGAGTGGGGGGTGGCCATATGTATACTATTAATTTAATCAAGTGATACTGGGCTCCAAGACCCAGCTTAGAACCTTCCTTTTTCTTTTTGCTTCATCTTACATTTCTAAGATCCCTCTGTGTTGCTGTTCAGACCTCTAGTTCACTGCCCCACACAGGCCACCACCTCTTTATCTATCTGTTCCCTGCCAAGGATGGATACTCAGGGGCCTCCAACACCCACTACCACAAATAACGGCTGGAGGAACCATATGAGAACTGCTGTGGGCCAAAGGACCTAACCACAGCTACCAGCAGACCTCTCTCCAGGAGCAGACCTCTCTCCAGGAGCAGACCACTCTCCAGGAGCAGGCTCCCTGCAGTGCGCTAGGGAACCACGTGGGCTCTCCCCTCCTTTACTGAGTGTGGCTGGTCACACTAACCAGCCCAGGCAGTAGCTTCCCTTCCTCTATAAGAAAAAAAAAAAAAAAAATGAAGCCCATAAGGAAGGCTCGAGATAAAAGCTCTCTCACTATTTGCACATGCTTCACAAATGAAGATCCCGAGCTCCACAATAATCTGAAGGGTCTTGTCCTACCTGGGCATGCTACCATTCTAGGACACTGCAGCAGAAATGTCACTGGGAATGGAAACCACACGCAGCAGAGTAACTGGGGCAGAGAGCCAGGCTCCCCGAGTACGATGGGGAGCAGGCTGCCACATGAGCCCTGGGGACCTGTGGCTTTTTCTGTCAGACAGAACAGTCAGCGGTCAGGAGCACTGACTCTGAAGCCAGGCCATGCAGCTAAAATCCTGGCCCTGTCACTCACAAGCTCTGTGACTTTGGGCAACTGACTTTACTTCCTAAGCCTTAATGCTTCCTCTCTGAAGGTGGTAACATCCTACCACCAGTGGGGCACATTGTAAGGATTAAACAAGTCAATAAAGAAAGTACGAACAGTGCCTGGGATAAAATACGCATTACACAAATGTTAAGTATTACTGTTATTAAAGTCTCTGTTATTTTAGATCTCTGCTATTTGCAACCAAACTAACCTAATTCCAAACATACCTTAAAAAATAAAAGACAAATTTCAAAGCTTTCCATTTCCACCTTTGGCTCTTAAGGAAGAAAATTGAACAACATGAGGTTCAAGCGGATAAGAAGGTGCCTTCAGTAACTGTGCCAGTTCCCAACCTTAGCTGTCCCGGGGGGAAGGGGGTCAACAGAGGATACTGAACCCTCTCTTGGGGCTTCGCAAATTGGGAGCTGTCCTTTCCCCGTGTTCTGCCCTCATACCCCGCCTGCCTGTTGGCTCTTGGCCTTCACAGACAGTAGGGGAGCTCTCCAGCACTTCAGAGAGTGGGAGGAGGGTTTAGTTCTAGTGTTCTGCCTGCTGGGACGATAAAATTCACACATTCAGTCGGAAACTGTGAGCTAAGTGCACCAGCAAAGAGCAGCAGAGAAAGGGAGGCCCACATGCTCTCGGGAAGGGCTTCATTCAGCATAAACAGTCTGTTCAGAAGGATCATTAAACATCCCACTTGAGAAAATTCAACATATAATTGAAGCTGGGATGGGAAACCACGCCAGCAACGCCGTCTCACACGAGGGCAGCGTCTCTGGTTGTCATTATGGAGCAGCCAGGACTCAGACTGGACGGAATGAGATTTTTAAGGGATATTTTACGGCTGTTTTAGGAGGCAAAGCATCCAAAAAGAGGAAACCCAACAGCTCTTTATAAAAATCAAATTGCCCACTCTAGGCTCGACAAGAACATGCTGTCAAGCCCAGCATTATTACCCGATAAATGTACCTGAATGGTGGCCCCAGTCAAGTGTTCATTTTTCTCACAACTCCAGATCTCGGGCCTAAAATAAGCCTCACCTGTGCCTCCAACACTCCCCAACAGCTTCGGGAAGAACTGGTTTTGCTAAAACTGGAAAGAGTAACTCGTCCACTCAGTGCTTGAGGCAGTTCCCAAAAAGCATCTGTGATCACAGGGTAATTGCTAGATTTTGTGATCTGTTGGGTCAGAATCAACCAGCCCGACCTGGAGACACAAGAATATTCAAGGCTCCAGACTACGGACAGCCCTTCTGTTTTCCAAAGCCTCTGGCTTACCTGATTCCTGTCTGTTTTTTTAACTGGAGTTTTCTGACCACAAAGTAAACTGCTTAAGAAAAGGAAAAAAATAAATCTTTTCAGCCATACATCTAAAGAACCTCATAAAAGAGGAATTAAATCTTTTATCCAGAAAAACAGAGTTTGAAGAAAAGTGCCAAGGAATTCATCTGATCACCTGAATGCAATAATTTTAAAGCGGTTCAAGTGCTATAGAAGCTTGTTGGGTATTACTCATCTGGCATTTTTCAGGCAAGTATCTGTGACAAGGCTGCCAGAGCTGAGTATGGACAAGGCGGAGGACCCCTCGGTTAAACCCAGCGAAGTCAAACCACTTGACAAAGAAAGGACAGTGAGGGCAGGGAAGAGGTTTCTACAGAGCAGAAACCCACGGGAGCGGGTGGTTCTGTTTCATGAGAACCCTGTTCCAGACTGTTTGAGAGGAGACATGCTGTTTCCAAGAGAGAGAAGCAGCTGACCACAGAGCCCTCCCCGACACGGTGCCGGTCAATCAGGGCAGCGGCTAAAAGGTAAACACCAACGCAGAACAATCTCTGGCCATCCACTGCTCAGCGTGGGGCACCTGGCTAAAATGAATTTTAAAAACCAACACACCACCAGACCGACTCTCCTTTCCTGAGGTTCCTGTATTACTTCTACTTTTATTTAATGAACACTAATGGCTGCTGGTTAACTCAGCCTCCTGGTGCCCGGATTACAGCAACCCAAACTGTGTGAGTATTCGGGTGAGAGGGCAAGGGAGGGGTCAGGTCCGGCACACACTTGGCCTTCTAGGACCTGCCCAAAGACCACCCACAGAGCCAGGCAGCGTGTCACCAAGACTCTTGTATGCCAACAGGCCCTGGGGAGTCCAGGGTCCCCAGAGCCCGTGGTCAGCTGCCCACAGGCTCCTCGTCTAGGCTCAAACGTCTTGACTATGTTG